AGCTATGCAAAAATGAAGACGAGCACCTGTACAAAGTCTTTGTAAGCAATGGGTGTTCTATCAGCTTCATCCGCCAATGCCTGGCTAATAAACAACACCAAGGAGACACTGTACGCCCCAACACACTGGCCACCCTACCCTATATTAGAAACACATCAGAACTGACAAGACTCCCACCTCCCATTGGAATAATGATGGCACAAAAACCAACAGCCACACTTCACCAGCCACTCTCAAAGATGAAAGATCCCATATGCACAATGAGCAGGACAAATGTGATATAGAAAATACCATGCAGCAACTGCGAGAAGCGATACATAAGACAGATGTGCAGGAACCTCACCACCAGGATACACAAACACCAACTCGCAGCAAAACGGCATGACCAACTCTCCCTCGTTTCTATTCACTCCAACAAAGAAAGACATTAGTTTAACTGGGACAGCCTAATAGTACTAAGACAAGCGAAACAAAGACAAGCATGAGAATTCCTGGAAGCCTAGTTTCCAACCACTGGTACTATAAACAAACATGTTGAAATAGACCCCATCTACATACCACTATGGAACAAAACCGGAAACAGAACTACCCACCATGACAGACTGGACCATATAATTTCAGAACGGAACAGAACAACAGGACTTCAACGGAGGCTAGACAGCACTGAAGATGTCACCTCGAAGGGGGATGAAACGTTTGCATGAAAACCAGTCAGCTCGGCGAACCAACCAACAACTTCTACTCTAGCTTTCAAATAGAGCAGCTGTATCTGGATTTGCTCCCTAATGTCCTTATAATTATGCCTGATCAAATATAGTTGTGCCTATATTTTTTAAACAATAAATCTTCTTGCTTTCAAAGAACGGTGTCCCCTCTTTAGATACTCTATGGTAGCCTACCTCTACTACTAACCATTAGATAGGCTCAAGACAAAGCAAAGACAAGGGAGGATTGGTGGCAGCAAACAAATTCAAAAAAATCCTAACCTAGTACCAAATATTGGTAGAGGTAGAAAATCCCACAAAGTACCAGGAGTGGTCGTCTAGGAAAATACCACATGTAGCTCTATTGAAATGTACTCTGGTCAACATATGTGTTTCAAATCATACCACCAAAAACAACTGGTCATCCATCCCATTTGTTGTTTTCGGAACCTTGATTTTGAGCAAATTGGCTGCAATATTTACTTACATAATAAGAGTGACTGCACTTCAAAAAGTCTTCAAAAATAGAACAAGCTCTTTGAAAATCTGATAGGCAGCTATATAAAACACAAGTTCTTGCTGCCTCACAGCGCCAGGGACGCAGTTTCGATTCCACCCTCGGGCGACTGTCTGTGTGCAGTTTGCACATTCTCCCCGTGTCTGTGTGGGTTTCCTTCAGGTGCTCCGCTTTCCTCCCACAGTCCAAAGATGTGCAGGTTAGGTGGATTGGCCATGCTAAATTGCCCATAATGTTCAGGGATGTGTAGATTAGGGGGATAAGTCTGGGTGGAATGCTCTTTGTGTTGGTGTGGACTTGTTGGGCCGAAGGGCCTGTTTCTATACTGTAGGGATTCTATGAAATTCTTCCTACTGTCTTGATCGAGCAGTTCACTATTTTCAGAGTGTTTAATTAATTCAGTATATTTTCTCCGAGTCTTTTATTCTCATTCATATTAACCTTCAGCACGTTCAATCATTCATCCTTATTACCTTCCTCAACTATTTATATGCTGCCCCTTAGTGGCAAACTGTAAATATTGGGTCAGGTCACATAAACCTCCCCACAACTATCACACTGATCCCAGGATTACTGTTACCAATTAGCATGTTGTGGATTAGCCAGAACATTCTCCTTATGTTAATACAACATTTTTCACCTTGATTTACTCATGCTCAACTTTCTGTTTGCTCCTGAAGATAATTCCAAAAGCTCACATCCGTTCCATCACCAAAGCATCTTACTTCTGGTAAAATGTTTCCTGCTGATGACGTTTCTCACCTATTCTATTATCAGCCTGTGTCATTAATTCATACTGTACCTTACTTTTATCTATTAGATCATCAACAGAGCCAAAGCTTGAGTCTATATCTTCATCTTCTCTAGACTTAATTTATTCAAAACACTAATCCAACTCTCAAATGTTACCTTTGATAAATCTCAAATTTCAGAAATGCCCAAAACTCTGCTTCAAAATTGCATTCCTGCTTTCACCAAATTATGATTATACAATGCTTTGAGCACTGCAAATTCAAAATATACCCCTTCATTGCATTTGATAACATTTGTAGTCTTCTTCAACCCTAAAACTGTTTCTGTTTTTCCAACAGTCATCAAACTCTCTTTCCATAGGTAGGTGATCCTTCAGAGACCAGAGACATTCTGAGATTAACCATTTAATTCAGAACCTGACTGTGTCGTCATCTCTTTCTTACCTCAAAGATCTTCTCAAAAACTTCAATTTTGAAATGACTCCAGTTAAAATTCCCTCACCTCTCTCCCTGCTATGCGTTCCCTAATCTCTTCAATAAATATTCAAAAACTTGTTGAACAGACCTGTAGAGTTTTGGAGTGAATATTGATTGTTCATTTCATTGCTACATTACTTACTGTTTCTTTTTGCACTCTGTTCCTTGATCAATCTTGAACTTTGGTAAACTAAGGAAACCTTCAGCTTTCTCTGCCTATGGGAGAAGCAGAATTGATTAAAGTTCTGATCAATTATCAAGTTTATTGTCATATCTTTTTCAATTTCTACTTTCAATTTTTACTCCAAAATGAACCAAACAAGATTGCACATTCTGGCACAAATAATTGGAAATATTTGAAAACAAGTTTTACTAATCTTTTATAATCGCTATAACTCCTGCTGTATAAAGTGCAGCAATTTTGTATACATCCTTTAAATTGTAAAACATGGTCTGGACAGTAGAATGTTCAGAGATTATCTATTTATTACATGACTTGACCAATTCATAATATAAATATTCATGAGCAATGCAACAGATGATATCCTTTCACCATTCCTCCTTGCACAAGAGCACCCAGCCCCCCTACCCCACTACAATGTCCACGTGAGCAATGTAAACCCAGCACCTCCCTCTGGTTTGGAAATGAATCCATAACACTCCTTTGGCTTAGGTCTGTTTAGCTCTAAATTTGACTTTGCAACTAACTACTTGTGAAGTGATTAATTTACAGAATATCTATCTCACTCATTTTATTTATTTTGACAGCCAGGAAGAAATTTGTGTGAGGAATTGAAATTACACTATGAGTGCTCATATTGCTTGAAAATAGTGTCAATGGGGCACATGCATATTTGTAGTGTAATCTGCACTGGACGCTATATTAATGAGGATCTTACATTTGCTGGATATATGTAGAAAAAACAGATTTGATTTGACATCAGTGATGCTATTTTGGTGCTCAACTTTCCAGTTAATACCTTTCTCTGAACCTTGCTCAGCTAGATGCCTTTCTGCAGCAGGAAGCATTATTTGATGGGATCATCAATTTCTTACAGGTTGATTTCTGGATTATTTATTTTAGTTGTTGTCACATTTCTACAAGACTTTGTTACTTCTTTTCGTTCTCTTCAAGTTGCAAAATGGTGTGGTATGGCTGATGATTAAATAATTTTTCTGATTTCAAGGCATTGGCACAAACCAGTTGCTAACAGAAATAAGCACATTACTAGGCATTTCTCTTAAAATACAGCATCGCAGAGGAGTAAATAGAGGTCACACAGAACAGAACAAATTGCTAGAGAACGGAGGAGGAAGAGGATGATGAGAATAACAATTCACATCAGAAGGGCATATCGACCCCTAATCTTCAAGGGACAAATCTATCAGCTAGAAGCCATGAGAAGTCTGCACTTCATTAAGAATATCTTGTTTGAAATTTGCCAAATGCAGTAGTCATAACTGCAATATTAGTGTGAAGCTACACTACACTGTACAGGCATAGATTTATTACACATTGAGATTCCCATGTTCAGGGGCTATCCAATGTTGCCTTTTTCATTTCTCATAGTTCTCTCATCCCGTGAAGATTTATTCCTTCAGTGAACCAATAGGAAATTAATGCTCTTCTTGACTTTGTACTGGTGTTTTATCTTCTATATTCAAAATATTCTATAATTCAAATTCAACAGATGACATAACAAAGATTATTTGCTAATTTAGACTCTTTAAAAAGTGCTTTAATATTGAAATATCTTCATTTAAGTTTCCAAATATTCCCATATTAATATGAATACAACATAAAGTATGACGTGGAAATGCCCATGTTAGATCGGGTGTGGACAAATTCAGAAGTCACATGACACTAGGTTATCATCCAACAGGTTTATTTTAAAAGTCACAAGCTTTCAGAACACCATTCCTTCATGAGGTGAAGTGGAGGGAGGCACGCAGGCACAGAATAAACAAGCGGAGATATAATGGCAAGATAATTCCAGATAATTAAGACTGTCAACAGGTAAGTACAAATAGTGTGAGTACAGGGTCAACAGGCTGAATAACAAGTCTTTGCAGCTGATCAAGAGTGTCAATGGTCTGAGTAAAGTGTCAACAGCTGAATAACAAGTGAAGGGATGACCTATGAACTGATTAATTAAGATGGAGAGATAATTACACATAATCAAAAATAAGGTGGTGCTAGAGACAAACCAAATAGCTGGAATAACATGTGTAGATATCAGAGTCATGTGATGAGGGCCTAACCAAAGAAACATGTAATCAAAAACTGTGCAAACTAATTAGGGTAGAGAGATAATCTCAATTAGTTTGTACAGTTTTTGATTACGTGTTACTTTGGTCAGATCCTTGTCATGTGACACTGATACCTTACTCATGTTATTCCAGCCATTTGGTTTGTCTCTAGAGCCATCTTATTGTCAATTATGTGTAATGTGTATTTTTGATTATGGGACCATCCAATCCTGTGAGCCCTAGATATTGAGGGCTATACAGCATTGGATTCAGAGTAAAAGGGATGCTTATGGCAAATAATGAGAGTTCAAACAACAGAAGCCCTAGAGGAGTACAAAATGTGGAAAAGGAACTTGAAAAGCAGGTTAGCAGAGCTAAAAAGGGGACATGAAAAGATACTGGCAGGTAAAAATAAATGAAAACCTTAACTGTTTTTCAGATCCATTAAAAGTGAAAGTATAATGAAAGAAAGAATAGTGTCTATTGAGGCCCACAGCAGCAATTTGTGCATGGAACCAAAGGATTTAGGTATGTTGGTGTTCACTAGTGAGGGATGATATGGATACAAAAATAAGGGAGAATACCTGTCTGTGATACAATTAAAGATATTAGCATAGACAGAGAGGAAGTTCTGAGTGGTCTGGTAGGCTTAAAAATACATAAATCTTCAGGGCCAGATGAAATGAATCCCAGATTGAGTGAGGCAGGGACGAAACAGCAGAAGCACTTGCAAAAATTTTCAATTCCTCTCTGGCCACAGAGGTGCCAGATGACTGGAGGACAGCCAATATGGTACCGTTAATCAGTAAGGGATAAACTAGGAAACTAGTGGCCTATCTCTAACCTTGGTGGTGGAGAACTATTGGAAGCAATTGAGGGACAGAGTTAATCTGCATTTGGAGAGGCAGGGATTAAACAAGAATAGTCAGCATAGTTTTGTCAAAGGAAGGTGATGTCTAACCAACTTGACTGAGTTTTTCGAAGAGGTGACCAGGTATGTAGATAAGGACAATACTTTTGATGTGGTCTACTTGAACTTCAGCAAGACCTTTGGTAAGGTCCCACTTGGGATACTGATAGCAAAGATAAGAATCCATGGGCTCTGAGGGAATTTAGTAAATTGGATCCATAATTAGCTGAGTGACAGGAAGCAGAGGGTGATTGTTGAAAGGTGTTTTTCCAACTGGAAGCCTGTGTCCAATGGAGTCCTCCAGAGGTCAGTATTAGGGCCCTTGTTTGTAGTTTATATAAATGAATTAGATTTGAATGTGAGATAGTAGGAACTGCAGATGCTGGAGAATCCGAGACAACAAGGTGCAGGGCTGGATGAACACAGCAGGCCAAGCAGCATCATAGGAGCAGAGAGGCTGACGTTTCGGGCCTAGACCCTTCATCATAGGAGGGTTGATCAGTAAATTCACAGACGATACAAAAATTGATGGAGTGGTAAATAATGAGGATAGCCTTAGATTACCGGAGGATATAAACCAGCTAGTCAGATGGACTGATCCGTGATAAATGGATAGATGTGAGGTGATGCACTTGGGTAGAACAAACAAGGCAAGGAAATACATGACAAATGGTAGGAGCCGGGAAGCACCGAGAATCAGAGGGTCCTTGTTGTGCATGTCCACTGGTCCCTCATCTTTTCAGGACAGGTGGATAAAGTGGTTAAGAAGGCTTATGATATACCTGCCTTTATTAGCTGAGGCATAGAGTTTAAGAGCAGGGAGGTTATGTGGGAACTATACAAAACATTAGTCATACCACAGCCAGTGTATTGTGTGCAGTTCTGGAAATCACACCATTGGAGAGATATAATAACACTAAAGAGGGTGCAGAGGAGATTTACCAGGATGTTTCCAGGGCTGGAAAGTTTCATCTATGAAGAGTGATTGGATAGACTAGGGTTGTTTCTCTTGGACAAGAGAAGACTGAGGGGGTCGTGATTGAGATGTGTAAAATTGAGGAGCATGGATAGGGTAGACAGGAAAAAACTTTCCCCTTGATGGAGGGATCAATGACCTGGAGGCATAGATTTCATGTAAGGGGCAAAGGGTTTAGATGAGATGAGGGGAAAACGTTTTGACCCAGAGGGTGGTGGTAATCTGGAAACCACTTTCTGTATGAGTGGTAGAGATAGAAACCCTCATAACATTGAAGTAGCATTTAGGTGTACATTTGAAATGCCAAGACATACAAGGCTATAGCCAAGTATTGGAAAATGGGATTAGGGTAGTTAGGTGGTTATTTTTGACTGACACAGATGCAATGAACCAAAGGGCCTAATTTTCTGGGCTGTAATTCTCTTTGACTCTATAACGTATTGATGTATTAGACAAGGGAACCCACTCTGGTATTTCGGTACTGTAAAGATGTGGTTTTGGGACAGATGAAATTTTATTTTATCAAGCGTTTTGAAATATTTTTAATTGTGCTATGTAAACACAGAAAATTGTTCCAGGGGTAGGTCACTTGTCCCTATTGAATGGTGAAGCAGGCTCAAAACGATCATGGTTGATTACCCAACTCAGTACCTTGTTCCCACTTTTTTCCTCATACCCTTTGACCCCTTTAGCCCTAAGCATTATATCTAATTGGTCCCAATTGCTTTCTGTGGCAGAGCATTCTACAGGCTCACTACTAAACGGGTGAAAACTATCTTTTCATCTCAGTTCAAAATGGCCTTCTCCATATTCTTAGACTGGACTTCCTGATCCATTGGAACTGTTCTAAAGTCAATAGAATCTTGATAGATGACCACTAATGCCTTTGTTATTTCTAAGGCAACTTCCTTTAGTGCTCTGGGCATTTATTGGCTTTTAATCCCATCAATTTCCTCAATACCATTTATTGCTAATACTGATTTTCTTCAGGTCTTCCCTTTCACTAGATCCTGTGTTCCCTAACATATTTTGTATCCTCCTTTGTGAAGACAGAACCAAAATATGTTTTTAATTGTTCTGCTATCTCTTTATACCCCATTATAACTTTCCCTGTTTTCGGCTCTGAGGGACTTACGCTTATTTCCCTAATCATTTTCTATTCACATACTTATAGAAGCTTTTATAATCAGTTTGCATGTTGTTCCTTGCAAGTTTAATCTTGTAGTCTATTTTCTCCCTCTTAAAAATCCATAGTCCTCCATTGCTGAAATCTAGATTATTGCCAATCCTAAATCTTCTACTTCTTTTGGCCAATTTCTAAGCCCCTTTCTTGGATCTAATAATATCTATAATTTCCCTTGTTAGCCAGGATTAGGCCATCTTTCTCATTTTATTTTTGTGCCAAACAGGAATGAACAACTATTGTAGCATGTGTGCTCTTTAAATGTTTGACGTTGTCTACCCACCATCATCCCTTTAAGTAATATTCCCCAATTTAGCAAAGCTAGCTCATGCATCCTACCATCGTAATTTCCTTTAGTCAGATGCAGAACCCTAATAATAGAATCAATTGTGCCACTCTCCATCTTCATGAAGAATTCTACCATAATATGGTCACACACATATTTATATTTGTATGGTTTTGTTTGTTCTATTTTAGCATCCTTTCTTTTGTGTAATTAACTCCTGTTTTAGTGTTAAAACCAAATCTGCAGCATTGCCTCTGTTTCAATTTAAAAACCGTTTGATTAAATAAAAAGATAGGGCTAAAGGGATCAAAGGGTATGAGGAAAAAAGTGGGAACAAGGTACCGAGTTGGATAATCAACCATGATCGTTTTGAGCCTGCTTCAACATTCAATAGGGACAAGTGACCTACCCCTGGAACAATTTTCTGTGTTTACGCAGCACAGTTAAAAATATTTCAAAACACTTGATAAGATAAAATTTCATCTGTCCCAAAACCATCTCTTTACAGTACTGAACTGTTCAATTAGGGACAGTTGGTATCATAAGAATGATATAAAGTTGCAACTAATATTTAAGTATTTATCAAAACATAATGAAGTCTAAATGCTGACTCTGTGTTTATTGTGTCTAATGCATAAGTTGCACCTTTGCAGGAAGAAAATCAAGTTATGAAGCTAGCAATTCCTACCAATTTTCAGAACATAGCCTATTTCAGAACTTTCCAATTATGAATTTAGCCACACTGCCCTAAATTGTGGAGGGGGGGGATGTTATCTCTGCTGACATATTGTGAAGGAAATACACACATTGCAAATGTAGACTCACTGCAAAGTAATTTTGGTTCTTGTCGATGCTGCAGCTAAATGTACCATGAACTCATTGTCAAAGTGTTTTCTAATGAAGGAACTCTCATTTAGCTTCACTTTGCAAGGCTGATCTTTTGCAGTCAATTTGAACTGTAGATTTATAGGCAGTGTAAAATGTGTTCTGCAAACTTAAGTTGGATTTGAACCAATACTGTAGTTGCAAAATATCAATATATCATAAACAATATTCCACTTTTTAGTTTTCACCAAATTTTTGATTTGACATGCTTTGTCAGATTTTAGTTAGTTTATGCCAATGATAATTGTTCTGTTAATTATTCTTTGTTAGAACAAAGAACAGCACAGCCCATGAACAAGTCTTGTTAATGTATGTTAAATATGTTAATATTTTTCTCCCCATCACCCATCAGGCTAGCTGCGAACAAATCACTTTATATCTGGAAATTGACATGATGTACTAAATCAACAATTAGGGAAGGATAAATGGATAAATGCTGAATGCTGGATGTTGTTTTAGCTGTGCACTCCTGACAAACTAAGGTTCCAGCAATATATTTTATTGTTTATCTCACAAGTATGTGGCAACCACCCAACATGAAAGACAAGGGCGTGAACATTCAAAGCAATTTCATTACTTTGCTGTGATGCAGCAGATTCCTGTTCTTGAGCAACAGCCCTTACCATAGACGGTGAATTGCAAAACATACCAAAGTAACAAAAGCCCGCACCATTTTATTTCTTACAGTCTACTTTTCTCTTTCACAATGATCTCTCCTCAGCCTCTTTGGTTCCTTGAGGTAGTGCACTGCCAGTGAAGTCCATTGTTTGCCACCTCTTTCCAGCCTTAGTATCCTTTTGCTGCTTGCAAATATCTTTAAACAGGGGCCTAGTTCTAGCCCAGTGGTATGGAAGTAGCTGTAGGTTTTCTGTGTAAGAAGTCTTTAACCTGCTGGGCATTTTCTGCATGTCAAGTTTAATAATGTAACATTTGGCGAATGTTTGTCGGCAAAATATTAGGTCACATGATCAATTATGTTTATGATTACATCATACACAGTACTTACTCAGCTAATCTGAATGTGCTTCATGAATAACTTCTGTGATTACACATTTGAGAAATGTGCACAATTTTATTTGCTCCCTCCATACCCAACTCAAGGCCCTACACTGTATTTTACTGCCCCAAACTATCAGGCTGAAGCTGAGATGATGATCAGTCAATCTACTCCCAGGCACCTCAACCAACACTAGGTCACTAGAATTTTGCAAAATGGTCCCAACAACTTCTCTTTCTCCCAACATGAAATTTATGCTTTTCTTTCACTGCATGCATGGCGAGTCGGGAA